TCCCATCTTCACCTCCGGTGTTCCTCACCTCCCATCTTCACCTCCGGTGTTCCTCACCTCCCATTTTCACCTCTGGTGTTCCTCACCTCCCATTTTCACCTCTGGTATTTCTCACCTACTATCCTCACCTCTGGTGTTCCTCACCTCCCATCTTCCGTTCCGGTGTTCCTCACCTCTGGTGTTCCTCACCTCCCATCTTCCCCTCCGGTGTTCCTCACCTCTGGTGTTGCTCACCTCCCATCTTCCCCTCCGGTGTTCCTCACCTCTGGTGTTCCTCACCTCCCATCTTCCCCTCCCGTGTTCCTCTCCTCCCATCTTCCCCTCCCGTGTTCCTCTCCTCCCATCTTCACCTCTGGTGTTCCTCTCCTCCCATCTTCACCTCCGGTGTTCCTCACCTCCCATTTTCACCTCCGATGTTCCTCACCTCTCATCTTCACCTCCAGTGTTCCTCACCTCTGGTGTTCCTCACTGCCCATCTTCACCTCCACTTTTCCTCATCTCCCATCTTCACCTCCGATGTTCCTCACTTCCCATCTTCACCTCCGGTGTTCCTCACCTCTCGTCTTCCCCTCCGATGTTCCTCACTTCCCATTTTCTCCTTTAGTGTTCCTCACCTCCCATCCTCATCTCTTGTGTTCCTCACCTCCCATCCTCATCTCTTGTGTTCCTCACCTCCCATCTTCACCTCTGGTGTTCCTCACCTCCCATTTTCACCTCTGGTGTCCCTTACCTCTCATCTTCACCTCCAGTGTTCCTCACCTCTGGTGTTCCTCACTGCCCATCTTCACCTCCGGTGTTCCTCACCTCCCATCTTCCCCTCCCGTGTTCCTCACCTCCCATCTTCACCTCTGGTGTTCCTCACCTCCGGTGTTCCTCACCTCTGGTGTTCCTCACCTCCGGTGTTCCTCACCTCTCATCTTCACCTCCAGTGTTCCTCACCTCTGGTGTTCCTCACCTCTCATCTTCACCTCCAGTGTTCCTCACCTCTCATCTTCACCTCCAGTGTTCCTCACCTCTGGTGTTCCTCACCCCCCATCTTAACCAAAGTGCTTCTCATCTCCCTGTTGTCACCTCCATGTTCTTAGCGCACAACTGTCAGCTCCGGTGTTCCTCACCTCTCATCTTCACCTCCAGTGTTCCTCACCTCCGGTGTTCCTCACCTCTCATCTTCACCTCCAGTGTTCCTCACCTCTGGTGTTCCTCACTGCCCATCTTCACCTCTGGTGTTCCTCACCTCTCATCTTCCCCTCCGGTGTTCCTTACTTCCCATCTTCACCTCCGATGTTCCTCACCTCCCATCTTCCCCTCCGGTGTTCCTCACCTCCCATCTTCACCTCCGGCATTCCTCACCTCCCATTTTCACCTCCGGTGTTCCTCACCTCTCATCCTCACCTCTGGTGTTCCTCACCTCCGGTGTTCCTCACCTCTGGTGTTCCTCACCTCTGGTGTTCCTCACCTCTGGTGTTCCTCACCTCTCATCTTCACCTCCAGTGTTCCTCACTGCCCATCTTCACCTCTGGTGTTCTTCACCCCCCATCTTAACCAAAGTGCTTCTCATCTCCCTGTTGTCACCTACATGTTCTTAGCACACAACTGTCAGCTCTGGTGTTCCTCACCTTTCATCTTCACCTCCAGTGTTCCTCACCTCCGGTGTTCCTCACCTCTCATCTTCACCTCCAGTGTTCCTCACCTCCGGTGTTCCTCACCTCTCATCTTCACCTCCAGTGTTCTTCACCTCCGGTGTTCCTCACCTCTCATCTTCACCTCCAGTGTTCCTCACCTCTGGTGTTCCTCACCTCTCATCTTAACCAAAGTGCTTCTCACCTCTGGTGTTCTTCACCCCCCATCTTAACCAAAGTGCTTCTCATCTCCCTTTTGTCACCTCCATGTTCTTAGCGCAGAACTGTCAGCTCTAGGTGTTCCTCACCTTCCATCTTCCCCTCCGGTGTTCCTCACCTCCCATTTTCACCTCCGGTGTTCCTCACCTCCCATCTTCACCGCCGGTGTTCCTCACCTCCCATCTTCACCTCCGGTGTTCCTCACCTCCCATTTTCACCTCCGGTGTTCCTCACCTCTCATCCTCACCTCCGCTGTTCCTCACCTCTCATCTTCACCTCCGGTGTTCCTCACCTCCCATCCTCACCTCAGGTGTTCCTCACTGCCCATCTTCACCTCCACTGTTCCTCATCTCCCATCTTCACCTCCGATGTTCCTCACTTCCCATCTTCACGTCCGGTGTTCCTCACTTCCCATCTTCACGTCCGGTGTTCCTCACCTCCCATTTTCACCACCGGTGTTCCTCACCTCCCATCTTCACCTCTAGTGTTCCTCACCTCCCATCCTCACCTCTGGTGTTCCTCACCTCTCATCTTCCCCTCTGGTGTTCCTCACCTCTCATCTTCCCCTCTGGTGTTCCTCACCTCTCATCTTCCCCTCTGGTGTTCCTCACCTCTCATCTTCCCCTCTGGTGTTCCTCACCTCTCATCTTCCCCTCTGGTGTTCCTCACCTCTCATCTTCCCCTCCGGTGTTCCTCACCTCTGGTGTTCCTCACTGCCCATCTTCACCTCCACTGTTCCTCACCTCCCATCTTCACCTCCGATGTTCCTCACTTCCCATCTTCACGTCCGGTGTTCCTCACCTCCCATTTTCACCACCGGTGTTCCTCACCTCACATCTTCACCTCTAGTGTTCCTCACCTCCCATCCTCACCTCTGGTGTTCCTCACCTCACATCTTCACCTCCGATGTTCCTCACTTCCCATCTTCACGTCCGGTGTTCCTCACCTCCCATTTTCACCACCGGTGTTCCTCACCTCACATCTTCACCTCTAGTGTTCCTCACCTCCCATCCTCACCTCTGGTGTTCCTCACCTCACATCTTCACCTCCGGTGTTCCTCACCTCCCATTTTCACCTCCGGTGTTCCTCACCTCTCATCTTCACCTCCGGTGTTCCTCACCTCTCATCTTCACCTCCGGTGTTCCTCACCTCTCATCTTCACCTCCGGTGTTCCTCACCTCTCATCTTCACCTCCAGTGTTCCTCACCGCCCATCTTCACCTCCAGTGTTCCTCACCTCTGGTGTTCCTCACCCCGCATTTTAACCAAAGTGCTTCTCATCTCCCTGTTGTCACCTCCATGTTCTTAGCGCACAACTGTCAGCTCCGGTGTTCCTCACCTCCCATCTTCACCTCCGGTGTTCCTCGCCTCCCATCTTCACCTCCGGTGTTCCTCGCCTCCCATCTTCACCTCCGGTGTTCCTCGCCTCCCATCTTCACCTCCGGTGTTCCTCGCCTCCCATCTTCACCTCCGGTGTTCCTCGCCTCCCATTTTCACCTCCGGTGTTCCTCACCTCCCATCTTCACCTCCGGTGTGCCTCAGCTCCCATCTTCACCTCCGGTGTGCCTCACCTCCCATTTTCACCTCCGGTGTGCCTCACCTCCCATTTTCACCTCCGGTGTTCCTCACCTCCAATTTTCACCTCCGGTGTTCCTCACCTCCCATTTTCACCTCCGGTGTGCCTCACCTCCCATTTTTACCTCCGGTGTTCCTCACCTCCCTTCTTCACCAAAGACAGCGGTTGCATACCATCTATCAGGATCAGCTACAAGAACTTCTGTGTACTGAGGGTCAGTCTGGTCTCTATGTAGGTGTTTTTGTATAACAAGATGGGTCTGTTGAAAACTGTGTGTAAGTACCAGACTTTATTTTTAATTTCATAAAAGTTTTTTTGAAAGTGTCGTGTGATGCTGGTGCATTTTCTGTGTCCTATAGTGTTTTATCACAGCCTGGAAGCAGCAGAGCCATAGACACCATCTACCATTGGATTTTGGTTAAACTGGAGGGACGTGTGTCTTTTTTCAACCAGACTATGTAACTGTTTTCCATATAAACATTACAAAAGAACGTTCCACCGGTAATGACGTATTTTCAAGTTTCCCTACAAGATAGAATCCTCCTGAGCGCTGGCTGTACTGAATTGTATCTGCAGATCATGGAATGCAGGAATGAATATCACCTGGAGGAGATCAGTTGGTTCCGAGTTTCCAGTCTCTGGATATATGGAAATGGTTGAGATCCACCACCATGGGGAGTCCATGACACCATCTGGAGGGGGTAGGCCTTCACCTCCCTGATTATTAGATATAAAATGATTCTATGAGTTTCTATGTCACCCAACCGTCAGAAGGCTCCAGCCCTCTTGAGGCTTATGAATGGTTATATGGAGATATCAGGACCTTTAATCTTCCATATGAGGACCTCTCATCATCCATAGGAGGACCTCTCATCATCCATAGGAGGGCCTCTCATCATCCATAGGAGGGCCTCTCATCATCCATAGGAGGACCTCTCATCATCCATAGGAGGACCTCTCATCATCCATAGGAGGACCTCTCATCATCCATAGGAGGACCTCTCATCATTCATAGGAGAACCTCTCATCATTCATAGGAGAACCTCTCATGATCCATATTCTAAGGTATAGAAGACGTTATTAGTATCTGCAGTGAAAGCTGCACGTGTTGTGAGGACTGACCTCTGAGGTCTGATATGAACAGAAATCTGGTGAACAAACATGAAAAATACACAGTTCTGTTTTAGCGCCTCTTATCAGCGTGTCAGGGCCGCTGTGGCGTGTGCAGAGGATGGGGGAATGCTCTGCGAGGTGCAATCTTCTGCAGAGTTTCCTCCATCCAGTACTGACCTCAGTCTTCTCTAACGTTAGGTTGTGTACGATGTGAAATGATTCCAAGATGAGTTATGTCATTCCCTTCACAGCTGGAGTGTTGTACAGCAATCACCTACAGTGTCATCAGTCTCTCATGTGACCTTTACACCACTAGAACCTAGGGAATAAATAGTGGAGCCTCCAGCCAGAACTTGGACTCAACCTACCTGAGACAGGTAAGTCCTGTAGGGAAGTGCAGTCCCATATACGGAGACCCCTCTGTACCTTCATATCTCTCAGCTGTCTGTGTCTGTCCTGCAGGTGACTTTCATCATGCTGCGTACCCTCACCCTCCTCGCTGCCCTCTGCATAGTCACTTATGGTGAGTACCTACCTGTGTGGTCACAAAGCTTGGTTGTCTGTCTCTGGGGAAGACTAGAACTCACTGCTGTCTTATGACTCTCATACAACCCTGCAAGAATGGAACTTCCAGTCTAATTGAGGTCCAGGATTCAGAACTTTGCTCTATATTTCCTCTTCTCCACGCTATAATCAGTTGTAGGCCTCTATCCATCGTCACCCCCGAGGCCGGTAATCATTACACCTTGCCCATACGGGGCTGGGGTGGGGTAGTGGTCCCTGTTATGATGAGGGGAAAGAAATGGCAACAACCTATCCTGTCATTTATCCCCCAGGCTGCCCCACCATCCTGACCAAGTCCCAATGGGGAGGACGTGCCGCCACCTGCCGTACCGCCATGACCACTCCCGTCACATATGTCGTCGTTCACCACACTGAGGGGACTGCCTGCTCCACCCAGTCTGCCTGCACCACCCAAGCCAAGAATATACAGAACTACCACATGAACAGCAATGGCTGGTGTGACATTGGATACAAGTAAGATGGATGGTGAAGATGCCATTGCTGGTGTGTAGATGACAAAAGCAGGTCATGGCCATTACGGTGGACTTGGGGGGAGGTGGGGACCCTCATACATGGGAGTAACTATATTTTACACAGAGAATGTCACCTACCAGGACCTACTGTATCAGACATGAGGACCAATGTACTAACATGGGGTACAATAACCCATTAACATCCAGCCACAGACCAGGAAGACGGCATCCATTATAACAAACTGGGCCTTCTAGGGGTTGACTAGAGACTGATGACAGTTGTTTCCAGGCCTTGTGATTCTTCTCATCGCGGAGCTGGAAACACTCACTGCTCCTATACACATAAAATAGAATGAGAAATGCTGCATTATCATTGGCCAAGTCCGTGACTGACAGCGGGTCCTCCAAGATGATGGTTGGATAGGTGGAGGTCTCACCCAGCATTCCTCTCAGGGATGGATCCCATAGGTGGCCCTCTATAGATTACTGAAAGCGGACATCTTACAGGATAAAGAGCACCATTGTTATACAAACCAAGGGAGTGGTGGGGTGGGGGGGTCCTCTGGTGAGTAGAAATTTGGACCAGTAACCAGGCAACCTGTCCTGAGACGACTGCAGTACCATACTAAAACAATACCAACAGGACAGCCCTTACTCAGAACACTACCTACCCACTTCCCAAACAGCTTCCAAAAAATGTGTCCTGTTTCCTGCAGCTTCCTGGTTGGAGAGGATGGCCTGGTGTACGAGGGCCGTGGCTGGACATCGGTTGGAGCTCACGCACCTAATTACAACTCCAACTCCATCGGCATCAGTGTCTTTGGTTCCTTCATGAGTAAGTGTGTGAAATGATCTCCCGGTAATGTGAGTCTTCAGGTTCTTTAAATCCTTCCTCTGATCCTATCTGTAACCCCAAACCTGACCTGCTAACCTTAACTCTAACCCTAGTCCTCTAACCCTCCGACCCTAGTCCACTAACTCTAACCCTCCTACCCTAGTCCTCTAACCCTCCTACCCTAGTCCTCTAACCCTCCTACCCTAGTCCACTAACTCTAACCCTAGTCCACTAAATCTAACCCTCATCCTCTAACCCTCCTACCCTAGTCCACTAACTCTAACCCTAGTCCACTAACTCTAACCCTCATCCTCTAACCCTCCTACCCTAGTCCACTAACTCTAACCCTCATCCTCTAACCCTCCTACCCTAGTCTTCTAACCCTACTCCTCTAACCCTCCTACCCTAGTCCACTAACTCTAACCCTAGTCCTCTAACCCTCCTACCCTAGTCCACCAACTCTAATCCTAGTCCACTAAATCTAACCCTCATCCTCTAACCCTCCTACCCTAGTCCACTAACTCTAACCCTAGTCCTCTAACCCTCCAATCCTAGTCCTCTAACCCTCCTACCCTAGTCCACTAACTCTAACCCTAGTCCTCTCTAACCCTCCTACCCTAGTCCACTAACTCTAACCCTAGTCCTCTAACCCTCCTACCCTAGTGCACTAACTCTAACCCTCTAATCCTAGTCCTCTAACCCTCCTACCCTTGTCCACTAACTCTAACCCTAGTCCTCTAACCCTCCTACCCAAGTCCTCTAACCCTCCAAACCTAGTCCTCTAACCCTCCAAACCTAGTCCTCTAACCCTCCAAACCTAGTCCTCTAACCCTTGTCCTCTAACTATAACCCTACTCCTCTAACCCTCCAAACCTAGTCCACCAACCCTAGTCCTCTAACCCTCCAACCCTAGTCCTCTAACCCTCCAACCCTAGTCCTCTAACCCTCCAACCCTAGTCCTCTAACCCTCCAACCCTAGTCCACTAACCCTCCAACCCTAGTCCTCTAAACCTAACCCTAGTCCACTGACCCTCCAACCCTAGTCCACTAACCCTCCAACCCTAGTCCACTAACCCTCCAACCCTAGTCCACCAACCCTAGTCCTCCAACCCTCCAACCCTAGTCCTCTGACCCTCCAACCCTAGTCCACTAACCCTCCAACCCTAGTCCTCTAACCCTCCAACCCTAGTCCACCAACCCGTCATCTAACCCTAGTCCTCTAACCATAACCCTAGTCCTCTAACCCTCTTACTTTAGACCTTGTCTTCCAACCCTCTAACTCTAAGCCTCTAACTCTAACCCTAGTCCTCTAACCCTCCTACTCTAGTCCTCTAACCCTAGTCCTCTAACCCTAACCCTCTAATTCTAGTCCACTAACTCTAACCCTAGTCCTCTAACCCTCTAATTCTAGTCCTCTAACCCTCCTACCCTAGTCCACCAACCCTAGTCATCTAACCCTAGTCTCCTAACCCTTGTCCTCTAGTCCTCCAATCCTCTAACTCTAACCCTAGTCATTTAACCCTAGTCCTCCAAGCCTCTAACTCTAACCCTTGTCCTCTAAACCTCCAACCCTAGTCCTCTAACCCTAACCATAGTACTCTAATCCTCCAACCCTAGTCCTCTAACCCTAACCATAGTACTCTAATCCTCCAACCCTAGTCCTCTATCCCTAACCCTCCAATCCTAGTCCTCTAACCCTGTCATCTAACCCTAGTCCACTAACCCTCCAACCCTAGTCCTCTATCCCTAACCCTAGTCCACTAACCCTCCAACTCTAGTCCTCTATCCCTAACCTTCCAATCCTAGTCCTTTCACCCTCTAACTCTAGTCCTCTAACTTTAACCCTTGTCTAACACTCTAACTTTAGACCTAGTCCTCCAACCCACTAACTCTAACCCTCCAAACCTAGTCCATTAACTCTAACCCTAGTCTTCTAACCCTCTAACTTTAGACCTAGTCCTCTAACTGTAATCCTTTGTCCTCTAACCCTCCTACCCTCATCCTCTAACCCTCCTACCCCAGTCCTCTAACCCTCCTACCCCAGTCCTCTAATCGTAGTCCTCTAACCCTCCAACCCTAGTCCTCTAATCCTAGTCCACTAACCCTCTAACCCTAGTCCTCTAACCCTCCTACCCTAGTCCTCTAACCCTCCTACCCTAGTCCACTAACCCTCCAACCCTAGTCCACCAACCCGTCATCTAACCCTAGTCCTCTAACCATAACCCTATCCTCTAACCCTCTAACTTTAGACCTTGTCTTCCCACCCTCTAACTCTAAGCCTCTAACCCTCCTACCCTAGTCCTCTAACCCTCCTACCCTAGTCCACTAACCCTCTAATCCTAGTCCTCTAACCCTCCTACCCTAGTCCTCTAACCCTCTAATCCTAGTCCTCTAACCCTCCTACCCTAGTCCTCTAACCCTCCTACCCTAGTCCACTAACCCTCTAATCCTAGTCCTCTAACCCTCCTACCCTAGTCCTCTAACTCTAACCCTAGTCATCTAACCCTAGTCTCCTAACCCTTGTCCTCTAGTCCTCCAATCCTCTAACTCTAACCCTAGTCATTTAACCCTAGTCCTCCAAGCCTCTAACTGTAACCCTAGTCCTCTAACCCTCCAACCCTAGTCCTCTAACCCTCGTCCGCCAACCCTAGTCCTCTAACCCTCCAACAATAGTCCTATAACCGTCGTCCTCCAACCCTAGTCCTCCAACCCTAGTCCTCTAACCCTCCAACCCTAGTCCTCTAACCCTCCAACCCTAGTCCTCTAACCCTCCAACCCTAGTCCTCCAACCCTCCAACCCTCGTCCTCCAACCCTCCAACCCTCGTCCTCTAACCCTCCAACCCTCGTCCTCTAACCCTCCAACCCTCCAACCCTCGTCCTCTAACCCTCCAACCCTCGTCCTCTAACCCTCGTCCTCTAACCCTCGTCCTCTAACCCTCGTCCTCTAACCCTCGTCCTCTAACCCTCGTCCTCTAACCCTCGTCCTCTAACCCTCGTCCTCTAACCCTCGTCCTCTAACCCTCCAACCCTCGTCCTCTAACCCTCGTCCTCTAACCCTCGTCCTCTAACCCTCGTCCTCTAACCCTCCAACCCTCGTCCTCTAAACCCTCGTCCTCTAACCCTCCAACCCTAGTCCTCTAACCCTAGTCCTCTAACCCTCCAACCCTAGTCCTCTAACCCTCCAACCCTAGTCCTCTAACCCTCGTCCTCTAACCCTCCAACCCTAGTCCTCTAACCCTCCAACCCTAGTCCTCTAACCCTCCACCCCTAGTCCTCCAACCCTCCACCCCTAGTCCTCTAACCCTCCAACCCTCGTCCTCTAACCCTCCAACCCTCGTCCTCTAACCCTCCAACCCTCGTCCTCTAACCCTCCAACCCTCGTCCTCTAACCCTCCAACCCTCGTCCTCTAACCCTAGTCCTCCAACCCTCCAACCCTAGTCCTCTAACCCTCGTCCTCTAACCCTCCAACCCTCGTCCTCTAACCCTCCAACCCTCGTCCTCTAACCCTCCAACCCTCGTCCTCTAACCCTCCAACCCTCGTCCTCTAACCCTCCAACCCTAGTCCTCTAACCCTAGTCCTCCAACCCTAGTCCTCCAACCCTCCAACCCTAGTCCTCCAACCCTCCAACCCTAGTCCTCGAACCCTCGTCCTCCAACCCTCATCCTCTAACACTGACAACTCCCTGGTTTGAGTGGTTAGTATTTGGTGTCACTACTAGAGCAGACCAGAGATGGCCAATAAGAAGGTAGCAGAGAAATGTTTCGGCAGTTGTCATAGCTACCATACAATGCCCCTCCTAGATTGTAAGCTCGGAAGAGTAGGGCCCTCTTACCCCTCGTACCGTCTGTCTTTGTTGTACTGTGCCATGTATTGCCCCCCTATTGTACAGAGCTGAGCAAACCCTTTGGCGCTATACAAACTCCATGTAATAATAATAATAATGTCCAGATGCAGAATTGTATTAATTGTATTGGGGTCTCTCCACCCACAACTGGTCTATCAGTGTTTGGTTGCAGTTTCCTGTACCTCCTGGGGACTCTGGGATCTGTACATTCTGGTCATCATGAGGAGGTCCCACCATCCCTGCTGAAATTTTCCTTTCTATTGTGGAGAATAGAGGGGTGGGAAATCCCTGAGGTGGGTGGGGCCAGTTACTATGCTGTGGAGATCTGACGGCTGGAGTCCTCCCACCAGGAACCACCAGACTCCACGTCTAGATGAAATACCATGTTTGGGTGGAGTGGCCCTATGATCTGAACATTGCACTGATTATACGGATTCTTATAGGCCATAACCCCAACACCGCCGCCCAGAATGCCGTGAAGAATCTCATCAGTTGTGGGGTCACCAAGGGCTACATCAAGTCCGCCTACATCCTGAAGGGACACCGCAATGTCACCGCCACCGACTGTCCCGGAAACACCTTCTACAGCACCATCACTACCTGGCCCCGCTTCCAGGCTTAAAGCTGGGGCCCCAAAATGTGTTCACTGAGGAAGGGGCCCCAACATGTGTTCACTGAGGAAGGGGCCCCAACATGTGTTCACCGAGGAAGGGGCCCCAACATGTGTTCACTGAAGGGAGGCCGGAGGGGCCCCAAAACCTCCATCTGTATATTCTGTGTTATATTCTACTAAAAAACCTCAATAAATGTGACTTCTGAGGAACTCTCTGAGTGATATTGTGACTGCAGTGTGGTGGGTGTGGCGTGGACTCCTCCCACCTATGGGGGTATGTGCAGTGTGGTGGGTGTGGCATGGACTCCTCCCACTTATGGGTGTGTGACTACAGTGTGGTGGGGTGTGGCATGGACTCCTCCCTCCTATGGGGGGTGTGACTGCAGTGTGGTGGGTGTGGCGTGGACTCCTCCCACCTATGGGGGTATGTGCAGTGTGGTGGGTGTGGCATGGACTCCTCCCTCTTATGGGTGTGTGACTACAGTGTGGTGGGTGTGGCATGGACTCCTCCCTCCTATGGGGGTGTGACTGCAGTGTGGTGGGTGTGGCGTGGACTCCTCCCACCTATGGGGGTATGTGCAGTGTGGTGGGTGTGGCATGGACTCCTCCCTCTTATGGGTGTGTGACTACAGTGTGGTGGGTGTGGCATGGACTCCTCCCTCCTATGGGGGTGTGACTGCAGTGTGGTGGGTGTGGCGTGGACTCCTCCCACCTATGGGGGTATGTGCAGTGTGGTGGGTGTGGCATGGACTCCTCCCTCTTATGGGTGTGTGACTACAGTGTGGTGGGTGTGGCATGGACTCCTCCCTCCTATGGGGGTGTGACTGCAGTGTGGTCGGTGTGGCATGGACTCCTCCCGCCTATGGGAGTGTGACTGCAGTGTGATGGGTGTGGCATGGACTCCTCACGTCTATGGCGGTATGTGACTACAGTGTGGTGGGTGTGGCATGGACTCCACCCGCCTATGGGCGTGTGACTGCAGCGTGGTGGGTGTGGCATGGACTCCTCCCTTCTATGGGCATAGACTCCTCCCTCTAATGATCAATCAATATTAACAAAAATGGATTTTCTATTTCTGCAATGACCATGACAACGCTGACAGTGCTGGAGGTGTCCATGGGGGTAGGAAAACATGGCTGCATCATCTCTCCTAAATCCCAGGACACGGCCTCCATAACCCCCCAAGTCCCAGGACACGGCCACCATAACCCCCCAAATCCCAGGACGTGGCCATCATAACCCCCCAAATCCCAGGACACGGCCACCATAACCCTCCCAAATCCCAGAACGCGGCCTCCATAACCCCCAAATCCAAGGACGCGGCCATCATAACCCCCCAAATCCCAGGACACGGCCACCATAACCCTCCCAAATCCAAGGACACGGCCTCCATCATCCCTCAAATCCCAGGACACGGCCACCATCATCCCTCAAATCCAAGGACATGGCTGCCATCATCCCCCCAAATCCCAGGACACGGCCACCATCATCCCTCAAATCCAAGGACATGGCTGCCATCATCCCCCCCACATCCCAGATCCATCATTCCCCCAGAATACCAGGACACGGCCACCATAACCCCCCAAATCCCAGGACACGGCTTCATCATCCCCCCAAATCTAAGGACATGGCTGCCGTCCCCCAAAACACGGCTGCCATTGCCTCCACAAATCCCAGGACACGGGCGCCATAACTCCCAAAATCCCAGAACACGGCCACCAAAACCCCCCAAATCCCAGGACACAGCTTCATCATCCCCCCAAATCTAAGGACATGGCTGCCGTCCCCCAAAACACGGCTGCCATTGCCTCCACAAATCCCAGGACACGGCCACCATAACCCCCCAAATCCCAGAACACGGCCACCAAAACCCCCCAAATCCCAGGACACAGCCACCATAACCCCCCAAATCCCAGGACACGGCCTCCATCATCCCTCAAATCCCAGGACACGGCCTCCATCATCCCTCAAATCCCAGGACACGGCCTCCATCATCCCTCAAATCCCAGGACACGGCCTCCATCATCCCTCAAATCCCAGGACACGGCCTCCATCATCCCTCAAATCCCAGGACACGGCCTCCATCATCCCTCAAATCCCAGGACACAGCCACTATAACCCCCCAAATCCCAGGACACGGCCTCCATCTTCCCTCAAATCCCAGGACATGGCCACCATCATCCCTCAAATCCAAGGACATGGCTGCCATCATCCCCCCACATCCCAGAACCATCAATCCCCCATAATACCAGGACATGGCCACCATAACCCCCCAAATCCCAGGACACAGCCTCCATCATCCCTCAAATCCCATAACACAGATTCATCATCCCCCAAATCCAAGGACATGGCTGCCATCATCCCCCTACATCCCAGAAACATCATTCCCCCAGAATCCCAGGACGTGGCCACCATAACCCCCCAAATTCCAGGACACAGCTTCATCATCCCCCCCAAATCTAAGGACATGGCTGCCATCATCCCCCAAAACCCCAGAACACGGCTGCCATTGCCTCCACAAATCCCAGGACATGGGCACCATAACTCCCAAAATCCTAGAACACGGCCACCATAACCCCCCAAATCCCAGAACACGGCCACCATAACCCCCCAAATCCCAGGACACGGCCACCATAACCCCCCAAATCCCAGGACATGGCTGCCATCATCCCCCAAAACCCCAGAACACGGCTGCCATTGCCTCCACAAATCCCAGGACACGGGCGCCATAACTCCCAAAATCCTAGAACACGGCCACCATAACCCCCCAAATCCCAGAACACGGCCGCCATAACCCCCCAAATCCCAGGACACAGCTGCCATCATCCCCCAAAACCCCAGAACACGGCTGCCATTGCCTCCACAAATCCCAGGACACGGGCGCCATAACTCCCAAAATCCTAGAACACGGCCACCATAACCCCCCAAATCCCAGAACACGGCCACCATAACCCCCCAAATCCCAGGACACGGCCACCATAACCCCCCAAATCCCAGGACATGGCTGCCATCATCCCCCAAAACCCCAGAACACGGCTGCCATTGCCTCCACAAATCCCAGGACACGGGCGCCATAACTCCCAAAATCCTAGAACACGGCCACCATAACCCCCCAAATCCCAGAACACGGCCGCCATAACCCCCCAAATCCCAGGACACGGCCGCCATAACCCCCCAAGTCCCAGGACACGGCCGCCATAACCCCCCAAGTCCCAGGACACGGCCACCATAACCCCCCAAATCCCAGGACACGGCCACCATAACCCTCCCAAATCCCAGGACACAGCTGCCATAACCCTCCCAAATCCCAGAACGCGGCCTCCATAACCCCCAAATCCAAGGACGCGGCCATCATAACCCCCCAAATCCCAGGACAAACACGGCCACCATAACCCTCCCAAATCCAAGGACACGGCCTCCATCATCCCTCAAATCCCAGGACACGGCCACCATCATCCCTCAAATCCAAGGACATGGCTGCCATCATCCCCCCAAATCCCAGGACACGGCCACCATCATCCCTCAAATCCAAGGACATGGCTGCCATCATCCCCCCACATCCCAGAACCATCATTCCCCCAGAATACCAGGACACGGCCACCATAACCCCCCAAATCCCAGGACACGGCTTCATCATCCCCCCAAATCTAAGGACATGGCTGCCGTCCCCCAAAACACGGCTGCCATTGCCTCCACAAATCCCAGGACACGGGCGCCATAACTCCCAAAATCCCAGAACACGGCCACCATAACCCCCCAAATCCCAGAACACAGCCACCAAAACCCCCCAAATCCCAGGACACGGCCACCATAACCCCCCAAATCCCAGGACACGGCCTCCATCTTCCCTCAAATCCCAGCACACGGCCACCATAACCCCCCAAATCCCAGCACACGGCCACCATAACCCCCCAAATCCCAGGACACGGCCTCCATCTTCCCTCAAATCCCAGGACATGGCCACCATCATCCCTCAAATCCAAGGACATGGATGCCATCATCCCCCCACATCCCAGAACCATCAATCCCCCATAATACCAGGACATGGCCACCATAACCCCCCAAATCCCAGGACACAGCTTCATCATCCCCCCCAAATCTAAGGACATGGCTGCCATCATCCCCCAAAACCCCAGAACACGGCTGCCATTGCCTCCACAAATCCCAGGACACGGGCACCATAACTCCCAAAATCCTAGAACACGGCCACCATAACCCCCCAAATCCCAGAACACGGCCACCATAACCCCCCAAATCCCAGGACACGGCCACCATAACCCCCCAAATCCCAGGACATGGCTGCCATCATCCCCCAAAACCCCAGAACACGGCTGCCATTGCCTCCACAAAAATCCCAGGACACGGGCGCCATAACTCCCAAAATCCTAGAACACGGCCACCATAACCCCCCAAATCCCAGAACACGGCCACCATAACCCCCCCAAATCCCAGAACACGGCCACCATAACCCCCCAAATCCCAGGACACGGCCGCCATAACCCCCCAAATCCCAGGACACGGCCGCCATCATCCCCCAAAACCCCAGGACACGGCTGCCATTGCCTCCACAAATCCCAGGACAACGGGCGCCATAACTCCCAAAATCCTAGAACACGGCCACCATAACCCCCCCAAATCCCAGAACACGGCCACCATAACCCCCCAAATCCCAGGACACGGCCGCCATAACCCCCAAATCCCAGGACACGGCCGCCATCATCCCCCAAAACCCCAGGACACGGGCTGCCATTGCCTCCACAAATCCCAGGACACGGGCGCCATAACCCCCCAAATCCCAGAACACGGCCACCATAACCCCCCAAATCCCAGAACACGGCCACCATAACCCCCCAAATCCCAGGACACGGCCACCATAACCCCCCAAATCCCAGGACATGGCTGCCATCATCCCCCAAAACCCCCAGAACACGGCTGCCATTGCCCACCACAAATCCCAGGACACGGGCGCCATAACTCCCAAAATCCTAGAACACGGCCACCATAACCCC